GTATGCAGTTTTCCATTAGCAGGTACCGGCCATAAGGGTTTCTCTGTCGATAAATTGTCGAATTCTGGTTCAAGATTAAAATACTAAGGCCAGAATATAGAAATATAAGTTGATGAATGGATCCAATAATTCACTTAAAAGAGGTCGATTACAATCTCTGTTATATTTGACAGCTGAATGGAACCAGAAGGCTCACAAAAGTAATCACAAATGTCTTTAGCTTCAGCCCAGACGTCGTAAAAGCGATGTATGTACGATTGGTCAGGCAACCAACGGAATTATGAATGAGCGTGGCCCTGATAACTGCAATAATCAAATAGAAATGTGAGGCAGGCAAGCATTGCTGTCTTTGCATGCAGGCCAGAGACACATGCGAATATCAAATGCATCAAGATATGCTTGTAGATGTCCTAGTGTCCTGTGTATGTAATAAACGTACGAATGAATCTCGCTTCTGTTTTCAGTGCATCATGTGTTGATGCGTATACACCTGCAACAAAATGTGTACAAAGCGACTGACCGCTTTGCCTCTAACTTCTACCACTCGTTTGCGTTCATTTATTCTTACTTGTGTGTCACAGCCGATGTCCTTTGTTTTTGTTTGCAAGCGTGAAATATTGACATCGCCCATACAGATACCAATATGTAAAATTCAAAATAAAATTGCGGCAATTCGTTTTTCCTGTTTCCTCTCATCATTTGGGGTATCAATAACTGTTCACGAAGCTGTTTGTTATTACGATCCGATCAATAATAATATCATAAGGTATTCATGAAACCAATATGGTTTCACACTGTACTGAACATTGGAAAATTTCATTCAACTAATCAGAAGCGGGATAAAACTGACAGTAAAGCTTAATTCGGCATTTTTTTATAAAATTTTGGTAAATGTACGTTAAAGTTTTTAAGACAACAATACTACCTTCCCAAGGTTGCACGAACAAAATTCTAAAACATTTTTATATCCCAATGAGTGAAATAATGTTGTTTATCATTACAAATATATATATATATATATATATATATATATATATATATATATATATATATATATATATCAGATGTAATTAAGATACCGTATACATGGCATTAAACATGTAATGCGTTTTGACAAATGGACTATGTTTTTGTCGGCAATGACCGTCAGAAAAGGTAAACAAAGACTATCAGAAAATAAATACTGTGAATCCTGTCTGTGTTATTAAATGATTTGTCAGTGGCCTTGAATATGTACCACGTATAATGACTAATAGTACTACACAATAAGTTCTCGGTGTCTCGTTGGCTAGCGTGCTCGTTTTCCACGGCGCAACCCGAGTTCGATTCCTGGCCGAGGAAATATAATAACTGTGCGCTTTTCTTTTAAATAACTCAATATCTATGTGACGATGAGAAAGCCCACCAAAAGGTTATGAAAACCAGAATATACGGTGAAGGGATGTCTTCGTGCTAACCACCGGAACGCCTTATCCAATGGCCTAAAGGCTGAGTTACCGATAGTCAGTCGAGGCCCGTAGCGGGCTGTCGAGCCATAGGACAGGACAGGTGATACAAAATGGCTCAGATCTTTACGTATTAATTAGTTTCCTGGACTCTTAAATCGGGGCAAGCTTTATGGTTTCGCCCCATCCTCTTCCTGTTCTCTATCGGCGCCTTAAATCACCTACCACCGTACTCTCCCGGTTCCTATGGCTTCTCTGATGGTATTCCTAGTGAAAGGTACAATGTTAGGGATCCCGAATAAAACTTAGGTATATTCTAGTACTGGACCTCTCCGTATTTGCCCATACTTTCCTTTGACCCCGTTGTGCTATAGAGATATTACTATAAGAAAGGACCACTTTTACGGCTTCTGCCATTGCCGGCAATATAACTGCGTCCATGCACTCATTTTGTCAGTGCGTTCGTTTACAGTTAGCTCATTTGTAAATAGCTTCTTCGCTATTTCTTGCAATGGCATCGTGTTGCATGACGTGCAGTTGTTTCCCGACCTGTCAAAGAGGTCCATTCTTAAAGTAATTTCTCTATACCATTGTTGTCGGTATAAGCATCTTTTTAGTCAATTACACAGTACCCTGTTAAACGATGAGATTATTATCTTTCTCTTACAGTATGAATTTCACTCCGTATGTATGTTTCGTACATAAGAAAGTAAATATGGTAACTTTCTCGCTAAAATCTTATCGTCTCCTATATTATTCAATAGTACTTTTTGTGGCTCTCACACGCATGTAAAAATATAAAGGATTTGTTCTAACAAACGCATCTCAATATTCATAAACTGCATAAACTGTATTTTCACATGCTACGTATACATGAAATAAAATTATGTTTGATTGATAAAAACAGAAATAAAGTATTAATTTTTACGTTCTCATATACATTCTTATATACAGAGAATATTCGTAGAATAGAGAAAATTATGTAATGCTGTGCGAAAAACCGGCGGATTTTCTGCAGAAAAAATTCATTGCCGGACACTGATAACAAAAAGTGGATAAAGCCAGTTGCTATATTAAGAAAAAAATCATCTAAAACGTTGTGTAGCCAGAGACCCTATTTTGTGGATCCTAGATACTGAAAAATCTATTGACTACAAAACGACCGTCTGCCCGTCAATTTGTGACCACCACTAGCGTCTAAAAGCATACGTAGGATGCGTAATGTAGCAAATCCGTAAACGTAATGTAGCAAACCCGAAACCCGTGAACGTAATGTAGCTAGTATCAGAAATCCCGCCACATTCCGAACTCAAACCCTACTACCTCCCGGTTAGGAGAACTAAAGTGACATCAGTTGAGGCCCAGAGCCACCAGTCGGTGAAGATCGATGAAATTGTTTCTAAAGACTGACGTAGTTCATTAAGAATCACAATTCAGCTTACTGTTAATATTAAAAGAATTGTATATATAAATGGAATAGTCAAAACCTTATCGCAACTCAAATGTGTTCCAAATTAATAAAATAACTCAAAATAATACATTTGAAAACAGCCATTACGTACATATTAAACTAAGAGGACGAATATACAATTCTATATTATTCTTTTAATATCTAACACTTGAACAACTTTATTCACAACACTCATTCTCTGAAACTTTTTTTATTTGTTATTTAAGGTCACATCAACATCTAGGTCATTAACGACCACTATTGGATTTCACGGGATGGTAACTATAAATATGGCATGATATGGTGATGATACGGGGTGAAAGGGCCATGGACCAAAGGACGACCACGCCCACGGTAGGACTCGAACCCGCGATCCTTCAGTCCGAGATCGCTACGACACTACTGCCTTCACAACCTCGGCCATCCGCACAAATCTCTGAAACATGTCTTCAATGTCTTATCCTTATTCAAACATTTTGTCTGTTTAATTTCATCAAAACAAATATTTTGTTTATCAAAACTTATTTTTGAAGTAACCGATTTCTTTTTATCAAAACTTGCCAACTCGTAAACGCACAAAGACACAAAATGCATATTTTCCTCAATATTTGCACATTTTTACAAAGTTTTATAAGACAACATTTTGATAACATTTCAATTACCGCGATGGTATCCTTTTCGTTTCTGCATAATTTTCTATTAAATTCAACTTTAGCTACTCGGCGTTGAAATTTTCTAACAAGAAACAACTACTGTTTAAAAGCTAGAACAATGACAACGAAGAGAAATGGCGGAAAGTTAATAACTCATTACATGATATCTTTCTTTTTGAAAATTGTAACATTCAAAATCCCTTATTTCATCCTAAAAAGTCGTGTTTTCCCTTTCTCTTTTTGTAAGTGATAATAACCGCCTCACTCATTTTACTTTCGATTCTCAAAAATGGCGTTTGGAATTTTTATACACACCAACAACTTAAAAATCTTCCAAAAGCTTGAAAATCTTGCCAATTTTTTTAAAAATTTGACTATGTTCAAGTTTTATTTAGTCAATTCTTTCTTTGTTCTTTATTCAAAACAGGGAGATTAACATAAAAATATTTCGAAAGCGCGGGTAAAAAACTAGCCAGAGTGAAACAAACTATTACAACAGAAACATTTGCTATCAAAACCAGCTCGTTCGATTTGCAAAAATGTTGTGGTCAGAGACAAAAATCATCTCACGTTCCTGCGTGAGCTGACACTTCGGGTAAATTTCTCGCCACATTACAAGTAGAAATAAATTGTATTTGAAATATATTCCACACGAAAGCGATGTTATGAAGAACTCCCCACGACTTCCAAAATCGCAAGTGAATTAATTTTCATAAGTCTTGAAAAGAGCTGGTTTTGATAGCAAACTCTTCAAATATGCTTACAGACTTTGCTTAGCAATTAAAATATCAGTTTCTGTTATTTTCAAATGAAGTAATAGTCTCATTGTAATTCATATAATTCCAATAATATTAGGAAGAAAGAATACATGTGTGACGAAAGTCAAAATGTAAAATACTCTCGATAAGGAATTTCAGCAATGACATTAAGTGAATTTCACTCATGAATTTCATTGGTTTAAGGGATATTGTTATAGGTACAGACAAACACTAAGTTATATTTCGTGTGTATTAATTTCCCTAATGTAGATATGAAAAAACACCTAAGATACGTAAAGCACATGAAATATTTATTCCCATTAATGACAAATAGCAGTACTTCTTTTTGTATAATGGGAGGGCAGAATTACAAAAAAAATTGTGACTTGCGTTAAAGAACGAACAGTTCTTTATTTTTCTTTAACCCGGGAATTTTGACTAACTTTATGGATCTAACTAAGCATAATCATAATAACATTGGAATATTCCTTCATGTATATAAATGAAAGTAATGATTTTGTTGCTATTCTAGACGGCTCGTTAAATTTTCATAGTTATTAAAATTTTTAACTTAGTTTTTATGATTTTTAAGTGATTAACTTAGATGATCGGTTTTAACGCGAGATCGTAACTCAGTTTAATGTTGAGTATGCAACTCGCAATACATTTATGCAAGATGAAGCTGTGTGAAACTGGTGAGGCAAATGAATATTTCCATTTTACATTAAAGATACAAATCATTTATTTTTCTGTACACTTAATTATTGTCTCTAATATGATTCTGTTAATTAGTCCTTGCGTGCATGGCTTAGCAAAATTCGGCTAGAAGGCGCACGCCTGGGCACAATATTGGCCGTCGCTTGCGGTTTCGGTGACACAGGCGCCCCAGAGCATCTGCAGTGGCACATTGCCTCATCTCAATCGACTTCCCTTCATCTTTGGAACCTCTTCAGCCAATGCTGCGCTCCACAAAGAACAGTAACCCTAAAACCCAAAGCGAAAGAAACTTATACTCTTATGAATGTATTCAAATCAAAAAAGTACTTTTAATTGCCATTGTAGGTCAATAAAAAACTGGCCATTTTAAATCGAGAACAAAATCATTATCCACTCTTGGTTTCTTGATATCTCATTTAGATATAACAAGATATGATTTAAATTAACGTTAGATCGTGAAATGTGAAAAACATGTATCAATCAATATAAAAGATATTTTCGACATAACACCGCGTTGAAACATGAATTGGTTTCAAAAAAAACATTTACTCAAAAGAATCCGGAATATTGAAAATAATTCCGACAAAAGACTTTTTGAAACCAATGATTGAAAAGAGTTACTTTTCTGGAAAATATTTTTTATCATTATACATCATAATTTCACTGAAAATTTTCCAGTACAGGAAACAAAAAATTATAGAGAAAAATGAACTAATAAGCTGAATTTTGACTAATATTTTATCCCTACCAAAACAATTTTTACGGGTGGTTATAGTTAAGTACGTAATTACACTCATGCCTCAGTACTACGAACTAAAGAGGATAACGTCCCTGTCCGGTAAAGCCTACTGTTTGTTGTTGATGTTGTTTTGTTGTTGTTTTTGCTACCGGCATTAATGTTAGTTTACATTAGAAGTGGTATCAATAATTCCAGAACTTTTGTAGAAAGATAAAAATAAGTACAGTACTGTAATTTTATTCAATCATACTATTTAATCTGACCGTGTAAAACACGTGTAAACAGTAAATATACAATTTTATGCAGTGAATTATTCACTTTAAATTTTAAATCAGTCTTTCAAATTGAGTCGGCTTGTTCAGAGAGAGTTTGATGCTTTCAAAACTCGTTCAAAGTGACGAAGTTTGAGACGAAATTACAGTGCAGAAAAAAAGTGGCACGTCTCAAAAACTATTATTTTTGGTAAACGGCTTTAATCTGATTATTATTCGGTTAATAATCGGTTATTATTTCGCCGTCGAAGATAACATTTTGTATAAGCCGATTGTCTTGTGACTTCTTTTCAAAAACTTTTTTCTATAAAAATTGTTTCTGAACTTTTCTCAAGAAGCGAACCATTGTCTAGTAATCAGATCGCTCACCTACCACCTTTGGATACAACGTCTAGGGTTTAAATTCGGTCGATTATTGAGAAATTTGGTTAACAAAGCAGGTTTGCGGTAGATTTCGACTAGGTTCTCTTGTTTTTGTTGCTTCTCATTTGAGCACTTCTCCACCATTATTTAACTCATATTATCATCCATTCCCGAAAACCATCATCTCAGGTGCGGCCAAAACGATTAGAGACTGAAGATCATGATAAATTAATTGTCATTAGGCAATAACGTACAGCAATAACAAACGTAGTTGAAGTTTGTAAACCCACATAGCCAAGGTTTACATTCAGCAAGAAAAAATCATAGAAATTCGAAATAGAGTAAATAGAAGCGCTCATGCGCCATATTTAGCTAAACTCATCTGTTTTGATTGATCTTAATAGGCGGCGTACTAAAATCCTTAACGGACGCCGGCCGTTAGAAGTGGCTGTTTAGTTGGGTTAAGTAACAGTTCAGTACAACGAAAAAATATAACCATATTCGTTGAGTTAAATAAAGGAGGGGCTGAGAGGCGGAAGGCCGAGGCCGCTCACCTTGGTAGGCGACGCCGTGCACCAGGCCGGGCGCGGTGAGGAAGAGCGCGTGCGACACGGTGACGTTGAGTGGCGCGCGGGCGGCGAGCGCGGGCTGGGCTCGCGGCTGACGGGCCATGCGGGCGGCGCGCTCGCACCACGTCTCGTTGCCCAGCGCCTCATCCTCCGCCGCCTCCTCCACCTCCGCCTCCACCACGTACTCCTCCTCCACGCCGGCCACCGTGGGCGCCTCGGCCTCCGCCCCGGCGAGGGCGGGCGGCGGCGGTGGCGGCGGCGGCGGCGCCTGGCGGCGGGGGGCGCGGCGGCGGCGGCGCCGAGGGCCGGAAGGGCCGGGGGGCAGCGGCAGGCGCGGGCCAACGCGGGCGCCGGCCCGGCGCACCACGCGCACACAGCGCCGCGCCAGCAGCACCCAGTGCATTCTCACGCCACTACACGCACTACAGGGCATCAGGGCGCATTTTGAGCGCTCGCGAATGTCTGTCACACAGTCTGCGTCCGCGTCGCTTCGCGCGAAGAGGGTTCGATACCACTAATATAGTAAAAGTATAACGATGTAATACGAGCAGGCGTAAAAAAACGAACACGTCGTCGCGCGTGCTTTGTGAACAAGGAGTCCTCCGGAAGGGCGAAGGGCGTCGGCGGGGCTCGAGCTGGGCGCCCGTCAAGTCAGCGCGCCGTCGGGCCGCGGGGCCGTCGGGGCCGGCGCTGGGCGGCGAGCGCGGCCGGGGCGCGGCGGCGGGCGGCGGGCGAGGCGGGCGGCGGCGAGCGGTCGGGGTGGGCGGGGGCGGGCGGGCGAGCGTGCGGCCGAGCTGGTCTCCGATGCTATCGTCTCCATGCGGCGCGCCGCCTGCTGTGGCGCGTCGCCCGAGGCTGCTCGTGCTGCGCCGCCGCCGCCGTGGCGCGAGGGGTGCGCTGCTCTGTGTGTGCTCTCGCCGCCCTCGCGACGACTCGTCCTCCTGCGGAACAGCGGCCGTGCGCGCGCGGCGCAACGTATGCAGCGGTCGCGACGCCTGCTCTGCTCGTCACCGCCCCCACCTTCGCCTGGTCGCACGGACTCCCCGCGGGGTCACCCGGCCCCGGTCCCTCCCTCGCCGCCACCGCCGCCGCCGAGAAATCGATGGCAGCGCCAGGTGGCGAGGAGCGACCCGGCCTTCCGCCTCTGCCCGCGCCCGAGGACGAGGACGAGGCCCTCTGCTCAGCCCCGGCGCCCTCCGGCCCTTCCAGACGTCCTTTGCCAGGGCGCCCGGCACGGGCCCTCCGCCCGCCAAGATTTCGGCACACCCTCTCTGACCTCTGACCTCCGGTTCTTTGTTCCGCGTGGGGCCTGGCCTTCGTATTTGAGTTGTCATCCTCACCCTTCACACCACGACAGCTGGCCCTTCCCCGTTCTTTCTCCTTCGATCTCCTAACACCGTCATTCTCCTACGTCTTTCTTCCCGTTCTTTTTCCGTCATTTTGAAGCCTTCATACTTGACTTTCCATACTCACTTATAAGTTCTCATCCAGTGTCGTTCCTCCGTTGTTCCTTTCATCTCTTCACATCGTCGTGCTCCAACGTCGTCCAAATCTTTGCTACTTTCTCCTGCCCTGTGACCTCTGCCCTTCGTGTTAGATTTGGCAACCCCTCGACTTATTGCCATTCGCCATGATTATTTATTCCTTCGGAATCCCGACATACTCCAACCTCTTTAGGCCGATCCCTTCCGTTCCCCTCCCTCCCCTTCCCTTCAGTTTGCTCCGTGACAACAGCCGTATACTAGTATATTAAAAGTATGATAATGCAAAACTCATAGTATGCATATGAGTACTTCAATATGCACAATCTCTAGTGTTCCTAATATTGTGCAAAACATAAGAGAAGACAGCAACGTGAAAGTGAGTAGTGGGGAGACTTCGATAATATCACAGAGCGGCCTCAATTTATTCCTGTTATTATAGCTCCCTTTTGTCCTCGCCCCCCTGTGATCTCTGTCCTTGATATTTGGCTTTCCATCCTCATTCCTCAGCTTTTGACAATTTGCTATTCAGGCCTGCCATTCACCCCTTCGATCGGCCCAGTCCTCCCTTCGCAGCCGAGCCCTATTTTCAGAAACGGTCACGGACCCTATCGAATATGCAGCGCGACCAGGCCAACACCGCTGTCCCGCAGTTAGCATTTCCTCTATTTTCGTCTATCACTCTCTGTTTTGCGAAGCACACAACAACAGAAAGTGTTTTGTTGTGTTCATTTTCTCATGTTATCATAGGTTCTGAGTTTACTGGTAAATTCACGAGCCGAAAAGCAGCGAGTGAACTTATCTCAGAAACTCAGAACTTTTTGTTGTATTTATGAAGATTATTTCACAAAGTGACCACTAAATAATTAAAAAATTACGCATACAAAGTTAATTATGTAAAATTCATTAAATGTCAGACTCAATTACCAAAATCACTGCAACTCCGAAAGAGGATTGGCAATTAACCTATCTGGTAAATAGACTTTTGTACAAAAAATAAAGCTGATCAACAAACTATTGAACTATGGGGCGTGGAACACATAGCACCATATTTACAGCTCCATATTCACATCTCCATGTATTGAATAAATGTGTATTTCGTATGCGTATCTCGTATGCGTTTTGGCTGCAGCATTCGATCGCTACATCTACTCAGTCACGAGGTAGTAATACAAAAGCGATCGGGCAAACGCGCTAATTTTCCCAGAAGAATTTAACTTCGATTGGGTCATTCGAGACGGTCACTTAAACCCTAATAGCTAAAATCACCATAGTGAAATTGTCATTTCAGTAAAAGAAGCTTTTCCATAATTATTTTACTCTGTCTTCTACGACCAACTTACGTTAGATAATCGAATATTATTTGAGACTTGCACTATAAAAAATTATTTCGTTTTATATTAATTATTTCATACGAATAAAGTTCAATTTAATTCAATTCAAAGCATTTCTGCAAGGCGTTGACTGAAATAAAATTATTTCAACCCACTAACTTGTGTACTCGTACACTTCAATAGAAAATCAGAAATCTTGGTAGATGGGATACTTACAACAAATATTATAGGTATAATTTATTATTTACCACAGTTCGTTTCTGAACTTTCGTTTAAACCACAGTTGATGAATGAAATGATTAGAAATGATAATCGTGTAAATGGGATGGATGCACATGGGGCTATGACGAATGTAAAGGGAAAAACCTCAGGAAATTTGCTGCGATCCCACTTTGTTCACGAAAGGGATGTCTTTGAAATGACTTAAGGATCGACATATAGTTTTTATTCAAATCGTCAGCTCGGTGCGAGTTTGTAGTTAAGGAATCTGACCATTTTCATTCCGAATGGTTTAGGACTCAAATTCCGAATTGTGAGATATCGGCGTTTACCTGCGCGACTGAGTCGAACTGCCTGTATAAAAATTTGTCTCCGTGCAGAACGCTTTTGTAGATCGATTTCACAGAGAATCTACCAAACCAGTAATATCCTTAGAATGGTTTATGGACCGTAATCAGTCCTTCCTTTGCCATCCTATCTCCACTCGCGTTCTAGAGGTCGAGTGCTGGGCTGATCATTCACCCCGAAGGTAACTCACCCCTCTCTAAGATCTCCGATGTCGAGAGAGATGGAACAGAGGAACGATGTAAGAAAGAAACGTCAACTATTGATTTTACGAAGCTTAGGTTGTACGACGACCTACTGGCAGTTAGTTCCAGCAAAGAGGTTACGCAACAGGTTTGAAGTTCGGAATGTTCGGATTGAACTTTGCTCTCCCTTTAGTTCCTAACGTCGCCCTAAAACAATCGGAAATATTTATAATTGACCGCCATGCGCACGCGATGAGCACCTTGGTAATTCAGGAGGTTGGGTTCCGGGTTCCACGAAAAGTTTTATCTCGTATGGGTCAGATCGTTCGCGATTCGGATCCACGGCAACTTAGTTCGAAAATTGATGCAAGGACTAGGGTCGGTTATGGTGAATACTCTCTCGCACGAGTGTGTGTGTGTGTGCTCGCAAACGTGAGCCTGAGCCTGTGGGGGTGTCTGTGTGCCTGTATACGTGTGTGTGCTAGTTTAAATCCCTATTTATATTACTAAGAGATTTGCTTTTGGGCCAAATAAAGCCTAACGAACCATGCGAAGAGTTAGTCTGCGTCTCCGGAAGTTCCTTCCACTTCATTGATTGCATACCACTTCCACTGGCATTAATAACAGGAGGATATCTTGGCGTTTGTATTATTTATTTTTTAATTTTATTTTTAATATTTATATATTTATTTTATTTCAACTAGATGAATTTTTTCTCTTCTATTTTATGCACGAGTACTATGCTAAAAGGAAAGAAGCTTTATAGTGAGCCCTTTCAAACAGATGTGACAGTAATTTTCCTACAGACATAATTGTAAGCAAATTTACTCTTTCATTGTGACCGATAATGATGATGATTATGAGCAGTCCTTGCTGTTGTACAGAGTCTTAGTAAACCTGTAAAGAATAAATTGAAAACATCGAAAGACACAGTACAGTCCACTAAGCCCACCAAGCCTCCATAGTTGAGGAATGTAAAAATGAATGTAAAATTGAAAGTTTCCGGTGGGACATAGGCACTCTGACAGCCCTCTTAAAAGCAGAATATTGGAGTAATCCCCAAAACCCATGATAATGGAGCTTACTAGTTAGCAGAAGAGGAAGGGAAGTGTTGTGATATACCTCAGATGTGCTCACCCGATATTACACAGAGAGATATCTTCAGTTCAGTCAGAAAGATGCAGAATTGGAAAGCACCAGGTACTGATGGGATTCAAAACTTTTGGTGGAAATATTTTCCCGTGTACTCATGCGGTTCTGGCCAGGTGGTTTCAAGCTGCATTCAATGATCCAACTATCATTCCGGCGTCTTTTTCTGAAGGAGTTACATTTATGATAAGCAAGTCTAGCGATCTTAAGACTCCGTGTAACTATCGACCTATCACATGTCTCCCCACAGTATATAAGATTTTTACATCTGTGCTACCCAGTGTGCTGAATACCAATCTATAGGCTTAACAATCGTCGGGCACAAGAGCAAAATGGGTGTAGAGAATGCTTAAGGTTGCAAATAATTATTGATAGTAGACAGTGTTGTAGTCTTTCAAGCCAAAAAAAGACACCGCAACATTTCTGTAGGATGTATTGACTATAACAAGGCCTTTGACTCGATACCTCATGCGTGGCTTTTGTATGTCCTTCGCCTCTACAATGTAAATGCCCAGTATGTGAACTTAATCCAACCCATCTGTCTCAGCAAAGAGGCCACATTTTGTACGCCAGGAGACTGACGATCCCATATTCACGGCGTTTCCTTTGAGCTCAACAGGATACTTGACGTGCAAACGCTTCTGGGTCCACTTACTCAGCCTTTCTTCTTTGGTGATACATGCTCTTTCAGAGTCCGTTTGATTCAGGTTCAGATAAAATTCTTGTCCATGGCTCAAATTGCTTCATGCATGACCGTCGTTTTCTGGAGGAAGTATTTGCAAAGATTGTTGATTTGCTTTGTATATTGGATACTTGTTGGATATTTGGATATTTGTGCCACATATCAAGATGCATTTGTCAGGATCAAGAATTTCCCCCCTTTTTATGTGCACTGCAGCGAATTTATCAATGCCAAACTCCACACAAATAGAATCGCTAAAGGACTTAACAAAGTCAAGAAACGAGGAAAGCTGGTTCTTTTCTCTGGCGTTAACTTGAGAGTGTCCATGTAGGATAATAATAAGGGTATGGGGATTGTTGGTGTTTTCATATCCCATCCCTAAATCTCTTAACATTCTTCTGAGAGGATTTAGAGCTAGCGAGAAGCATAAGGGACTAAAACTATCTCCCTGAACAATTCCTAGTTTGATTGTCAGTTCCTTGGCTGCCTCCAGCAAATAATACTTTTCTCTTTGTACGCTAAGTTGCCAAGCAGTGTTGGATTAAGTTCACTTACTGGGCATTTACATTGTAGAGGCGAAGGTCATACAAAAGCCGCGAATAAGATGTCGAGTCAAAGGCCTTGGTATAGTTACTTGTGTGTGTGTGTGTGTGTGTGTGTGTGTGTGTGTGTGCGTGTGCGTGTGCGTGTGCGTGTGTGTATGTGTAATTGGGCATATTCCAAGAGATCCAAGGTTTGAACATTGGCTGGGACAGTCAATTCCTTGAACAGTTAAGTGTCATTTGAAACAGTATAATACAGTTTAATACATTGCTAAGACTGAAAAATTTCTACAATTGTTCCCAAAATTTCTTCTGAAGGATTAGTTTTTTAGTAAATTTTGTTTAATCTCGACTTTTGTTTTACCCAAAACCCTGTAATCTGTAATTTTGTTTTATCGATTTCTATTTTAGCCCAAACCCTGCAATACTTCAAATTCTAATAAACACTTGTAAAAAAATTTTATCATATTTTTAACAAAAATTCTTTTATAAACAATATCAATGATTGTCAGCTTTCTAAAAAAAATTGCAACCTATGAAAAAATCATCAGTGGGTCTCTGAGGCTCGCTCTCTGGTAATGCTAGGGTGAATACAGTTTAATGTTGTACTGGCTCAGAATAAATGTTATGAACTATAAAAAATGAGGGAGGGTTCAAGATGATCACCTTTCGCATGATATAGGAAATTTCATTTAATAAAAGTACACATGTAATTATTGCCCCTGACTGTTAGGTAACTCCTCACACACTGATGTTCTGCAGAAACAAAATCTCCGACTGCATCACAACATGACCTGGCAATCACGTGTGTAGGAAATTGCCTCATAATCAGGGGCAAATATGTCAAGAATGACTTTGTTGTATGAAATTGTAATATAAGTTTCATTTGTACCTGATTCTTCACCACAGACTTTGACCACTTATTTCTTAAACCAAAACATCATAATTGGATTTCAATTCTATTTTGCCAAGCTTATGATCATTTCATTGTGATTTGTTCCCATGTTCAACAATTAATGTTTGATTTCCAATCAAGTAAAATGCTATAATGCAGTTTTACACTTCATTGTACATTAACAAAGTGAAACTGGCAGTCATTAATGTAACAAAATGTTTCAGTCTCTCTATTCAGTCATACTTCAGTAAGTCTTAAAACAAAATCATGTTCATTGAACTATTTATTCACAGTTCTTTTAATCACCTTTAGTTAGCCTTCATGTTCAATGCATGTATTTTGTATACTATGTATATAGGAGCGGAAACATTAATTTCATCCGATAGAAATGATTATAATAAACACATGATACATGAATTATATTCATCAGCTGTTGTTTTAAACAGTTCACCACAAAATGTGTTCCACACAACCATTATTTAACAACACATTGCCAGACAGCATTAAACTATTAAATATTTGATACACAAGTTTAAATATTTTCAATTGGATAACTGTTTCTATACAATTAGAGACTATACTGAGCATCACAAATATATATTATTTCTTTTAATGATGAAGTTAATGCAAATAGTTACCATATATACTGCATAAGAGTCTTAATATGCCAGTAACAAGAATCACACTTCAACTTTTCAATCAATGATCCCATCTCAATCAGATGTTTTGCCTAATTTCCTTCAATTCATTCAGGAAATGTTGAGATGGCTTCTTGCTTTCCTTCTGGAAAATAAATGTAGCTTAATAAAATCTGTCTCTGCACATTTTCTTAACCTCTGAGGAGGGTCAGTGGAAAATGTAGCTATTTCACAAACAGTACCAGAAAATCATAATTCTTCATGTTCCCATGGCAAAGAGTTGCTTCCTTCACTTGAGCACTATAATGGATAAGAGCCAAAATCTGTAAATAAATTGCAAATGCACGAAGTTTTTATTACATGGGAGCATATATTTCTTGTTATCAAGTTTTGCCAAAAACCATCCTTGCAACTTTTATTCATAAAAATGTTCTACTTAAAGTACTAGTATAAAAAGCAAAGATATTTTAATAAAATTTTCAATGAACATACAGTGAACCTCAGTATTTGGTACACTATTAGTTTTCCAAAGTGTCTGAAAAAACAAAGTATTTGAAAACTTTATTTATTTATATTCATTAATATTTAGGCAACAGTATAACTGATAACGCCCAAATCTTACAGAATACATTGTAGATTGTTCATAGTAATATAAAAATACATGATATAAAAGTAATTTATTGTACTTTCAAAAATTATTTTATCCATCTCTCTATGTGAAATTTCTCTCTATGTAAAAAAGTATGTCAACAGTTTTCCTCTGAGATTTCTGATTTGCTTTGGCTTTCAATCTACCAGTTTATCCTTATAGTTTCACCTTATTACCAAAATTTTCATGACAATACTGTAATGCATTAAAATGTTGATGCAAACAAAGTCATCGCTGTTTCAGTAACTTTGAATAACTCTTAATCATGTTTTTCAAACCAAATTTGGACATACCTTTTCTATATAATCTAGGAATATTTACAAGAAATAGATCTAGGCTATTCAGTGAACTGTCAGGTTTCTGATGAGTAAACATATTTCTTTTCAGCCAGTATGGCTCAAGATTTGATCTATATAGTTATATCTAAGGATTAGTAATCTCCAAAAACCTGTTTAAAAAATTGCATCTTGTTTCAAGTTGCAAAATAAGGTTTGTTAGAACTGTTTTATTGTTATACTGGAGAGGACATAAAACCATTAAGACTCAAACATTATTGTTATTGAAAGAAACAAGGGAAATTTTAGGATCTATAAGCAACCAGATAAAGAAAGGAAAATAAGAAATAATCATTAAATAAATGTGGTAATGAAAGAAAAAGAAATTATAACATAAAAATAATTATAATCCTAAATCCAAGTTGAGTAATTAACAAAATACTACATAAAATCTGAGGATTAACAAGAGGTCTCGGTTAAGATAAATAATTACCAAAATGAACCAAGAAATATTCAAAATAATTAAACAAACCAAACAAAAAAGGAAATTCTATTGTCCAAAGGGTGGAATTTTTTCACATTTTCATATAAAGTTACCATAAATTGGCAACTTTGCCTTGTGTTTTAAAATTATGTTGTTCATTTCCCTGCCAAGTTCATAATTCAACAAATAGAACAATCAATTGCTCTGACAAGACTTTGAAGAACAAACATTTTATGCTTCAATACCTTGTTTACTATTTGTTCCTATTACTTATTTGCAGATTCTACCCTTTTTTTATTACATCATATAATTCCTTTCCCCTTTCACATATACTATTTGAGGTTAATTTTATGTTGCATTTAGGCATAAAATTGTAACTTGGCAATGTTGCTCAAAAATAGTTAGTGAAAACGGAGTATCTTTACCACATCAGAATTTGATTATTTTTTTCTAAATTCTAGTGTCATGTTTTTTTCAAATTGTTCATTTGGCTTCTTTGCTCATTGCAGTTTGATTTTACTGTGATTTAACACACGTAAAACAGATATTTTACATAATTTTGATTACATTATTTTACTAAAAATATGAAATCTTAGCAAAAATATATAAAAATATTTATGTATTTGACATTAAATATTATTATAATAACAAAAACATTTGTCATAATTTATTTGTTTTTAATAGTAATTACCGCCGCTAATAATTCACAAATATACGTGGTATACACCTATCCAAAATCCATTTAATCAATTTTTTTTAAATGTTCTTTAATATTAAAAACTATATTATAATAAAAAATTCAATTTTTTTAAAAAAATTCAATTTAAATTGAAAAGATTTTTTAAAATTTAAATTAGCATCATAGAATCATTTTGGCATTTAAAGGCATTTGAGTAAGCCTCACAGTAGCTTAATGATGAAACTTTTTGTTTATTTGTCATCGTGAAAAGACATTCGTCCTCTGAATTTTATCTAATTAATACCATACCTACTATGTGTTTTGTTGCTTCAATACCATTTCTTTAGTCATTTATTAGTATATTATAAGTATTAAGTATACATACAGGAAGTTTGTAATTTTCTATTCAATTTCTATTGCTTCTCGAATGGTTATCTCCATTTTTAATACGCTTATTTCATAATAATGAACAAAATAAACAATTATTCATTTCCAGTAGTGTAAGAATAAGTGAACGAATCATACTTACATTATTTTTTATATTTAATATTTTATTTGATAAAATAAATAGTAATATAAAAAATATTTGAAAACCAACATGTTTTGTGAACCTTACCCAGAATATCAGTTTCGTATTTTCCCTCTTTAAGTTTTCGAAATAATCCGCTAGTGCAAATCGAGCATTTAAACTGTGGTTTTCACAACTCTGCTCCTGGCAGATATCAGACTGTTGCCAGTTTTATCCAATTGGGAGCTTGAATGTCAACATGACGTCAGTGAGGTGACATTTAAGCTCTTCATAGGGTAAAACCGTCTACAGCAAAGAGTCTACAGCGCTTACCTGCCAGGAGCAGAGTTGCGAAAATCGCTGTTTAGTAAGTGACTGAGATGACAATCGATTCGTCTAAAATGTGGAAAACGTGACGTCGAATGAATGACTTGGACAAGTTAGGTAGATTGAGATTGTTTATCATGCAATAGACTTTTGTTTGAGACTCCCTGCATTGCATTTACGACGATCATTTCGGGATAGTTGAGGAAGTTGTATGAATTGGATAATTAACATCTAATCTGTGAAGTACAGTGAAGTGAATTGTCAATTGTGTTTATTGGTTGAGGTTGTGACACATTATACCAGTCAGCGATGGTTTGCATTCCGTGCTTTGTCATCCCATTTTTCTTATTTATTTGGTATCGTTACCTGCAGCCCATAGTTTTAAAGTTCTGGAATCCTTGGAAACCAGTACAAGATAATAAAACTGTAGTAGAAGAGAAGCGCAAGGAAGATGAAAAGAACATCGTTAACGAAAACAATCCACCTCCTGAAAAACTGAAAGCGACCTAGTAATGTGAACAAAGAGCAGCGATATTTATGAAGTATTATCATTAAGAGTGCAGTCGAGTGATGAAACTGTTTAACCATGATGACATTTCTATGTAACATTCCCAAAATGTAATGCCTCATTTTGTCATTGTTCTTTAAAACCACAAAATGTTTTGTACAATTATGCTCTAGTTTCATTGTTTATTGAACTTTTCGTTATTCTGTACATTTAATTGATTGATGACATGAAGAGCATGGTCATAATGATAGTTTGATATATTTATCAATGAAAAAATGTGCACCACCAAATAAATTTTAAATTAGACTAATAGGCTGACATGCACATAGGTAGAAAATATTATAGTCAAAGTACTATAGATACTCTGAGAAAACCAATGAAATTATTAAATACAAAAAATTGTTACTATTAAAAATGTGAATTGTTATTATACATGAATGTATGAATTAATTATAACAATATATTCAAAATGTTAAATAACGAATGCATTGAAAATGTTTTGATGTAGTTAGTGTTTTGATTACCAAAGATCTGATTCATTAAAATTATTGTTTTGCTTTATCACATTAGCTCCAACTAACAACCTTGAGTACACTACATTCAATTTAAAAAGAACATTCATGTACTATCACAAAAAATATTACAGATACAATGATTCAAAAGTAGAACTATATGTTCCTTAAATATAATTTGCTAATAATTATTTAAAATGTTAAAAGTGAGAAGCTTTCTTGCAAGAATCATGACACCCTCTTAGTTTTTTGTTTAACTAATCAACATTTCTAAATGAGTGAATGTCAGAAATTTCATACATCATCATCTCTTAGTGTAGCCTCAAAAGTTGGAAAACAACACAGCTCTGTGTATTTGAAGATTCAATTTCCTTCTCACTGTTGTTTTTTGGTTAAGTATTGAGATCATGGAATATTCCAGAGCTGTAAATAGGTGAATCTAAACTTTAGTGTTAAATTATTGACATTATTTTCCATATTGGGTGGTAAATAGTATCATTTTCTTAATTGCATTAGAAATATCCATTAGAGACCTTTTCTAATTGAAAATGTGTACCTTTCATTAAAATGAGTCTCACAAATTTCAACAAAAGCATATATATTCTTTTGGCACTTAATCACACTGTTGTCTTCCCTTATGTATATTCAAATTTTGAATTTCGGTAATAATTTTTTTTGTTTTTTCTATGTTCTTAAACTTAAGTTTTTGTTGTGAAGATATATACTACATTATTTTATATAACCATGGAAAAAAATGTTTTTAATGTAAACTTCAGTTTATGTACCACCTTTCAGAAAATGATTGTGTAGCTGCCTCATCTTTCGAATAAGTATGATTAAGTAAATACTCATGCCAAAACTGCAGGGAAAAACAATGAAAAGTAAAAGAAATATATTGTTGTTAGCAAAGAATATGGACTTGTAGAATAGAAGACATATGTTAGAAAACGTATATTATATTTTGAGGACAGTCCTTTTGAAAGTTGAACTCTTCCTATAAAATAAGCATAAAATTGTTTATGTAATTCTTAATTGTATTCAATATAAATATATGAGTGTACATAGCTCTCATTAAACTTGCAAAGTTAAAAAAAAAAATGTTAACTTTTGAATAATGCAGACACTTAATTATTTTATTTTATCTACCAGTTTGTACTTGCACTTGAAGTTAGTAATATAAATATTTATTGAAAAGTAGATTGCAATAAACTTAGACAGGAGGACCTTTTGTTTCCTAACAAGTTGCCAAAGAATTAGTAGATGGTTTGAAGTAACAGACTGGTTAATTCAGTATTGTTTGATTTGAAGGAATGTTTATTTTCCTGCACACTCTTAATTAAACCAAAGTTCTATTCCACAAATTTGTTGAAGGCTATATAGACCTATATAAATGCTTTGAAGTTTGTATAGAACCTAAATCTCAAATCAAATAACAAACATAATTTGAGAAATAATACTAATAACAGAAATGTATTTTTCACATAATTTGGCATTTATTTGGCTCAAGATGTATAGGAAGAGAGAAAAAGTCAGTAGAACATGTTAAGTTAAATTCTGTGATGTAGTGCTCTAGTGAGTTTTCTTATTACCATT